GACTCCCAAGTAACTAGAACTAAGGGTACATGTTACCACACATGGATTATTTAATTTTTTTTTTCCTTTGGTAGAGATAAGGTCTCATTATTTTGCCCAGGTTGGTCTCAAATTCCTGAGCTCAAGTGACACTCTTGCCTCAGCCTCCCAAAGTGTTGCAATTACAGGTGTGAGCCACTGTGCCCCATCAGAAGTATATTATTGCAAGGTTTTTATAATAGACATGATGTAGGATAATATAGTTTGAAGACAGTCTGCAATAAGTTAAAGATATATACCAGTAGTAGTAAAGCAACCACTAAAATAAAAATGTTGTATCTAAAAAGACAGGGAGTATGAATTAGTTCAACCACTGTGGAAGACAGTGTGGTGATTCCTCAATGACCTAGTATTAGAAATTCCATTTGACCCAGCAATCCCATTACTGGGTATATATACAAAGGATTATAAATCGTTCTATTTTAAAGAAACATGCATATGTATATTCGTTGGGGCACTGTTTACAATAGCAAAGACCTGGAACCAACCCAAATACCCATCAATGATAGACTGGACAAGGAAAATGTGGCACATATACAGAATACTATGCAGCCATAAAAAACGATGATTTTTGTGTCCTTTGTAGGGAATGGATGAATCTGGAAATCATCATTCTCAGCAAACTGATACAAAACAGAAAATCAAACACTGTGTGTTCTCACTCATAGGCAGGTGTTGAACGATGAGAACACATGGACACAGGGAGGGAAGCATCGCACACTGGGGTCTGTTGGGGGGGAATAAGGGAGGGACAGTGGGGGGTAGGGAGGTTGGGGAGGGATAACATAAGGAGAATGCCAGATATAGGAGATGGGGGGATGGAGGCAGCAAACCACATTTCCACGTATGTACCTATACAAGAATCCTGCGTGTTCTGCACATGTACCCCAGAACCTAAAGTGCAATTATATATATATATATATATATATATATAATTGACAACAGAAATAAAATTGGATTATAAACAATATTCAGTCCACTGTAGTCACTAATAATTGTGCATTTTAAAATAACTTAAAGAGTCTAATTGGATTGTTTGTAACTCAAAGGATAAATGCTCGAGGGGTGGATACCCCACCTTCAGAAAAGAAAGCAGAAAAAGGGGAAAACAGGAAAGACATAGGACCAAAAAAATAGCAAAATGATCAACATAATCTTAAACAACCAGTAATACTATTAAATGTAAAGAGTCTAAACACCTCAATTAAAATGCAGATTATCAGGTTTGATGAAAATAGACAAGACTAATGTAGGCTCTCTACAAAAATGCACTTCAGTTATAAAAACACATCTAAAATTATACATTATGCAACCAATAGTCAAAAGAAGATGAAATGGCTATTTAATATCAGAAAAATAGATTTCAGAAATTATAGGGATCAAGCAAGATCGTTCATAATGTTAAAGGCATACATTCATCAAGGGGATATACACATCATTCATGTTTGTGCAACTAATAAAAGAAGTTTAAAGTACATGAAGTAAAAACTGATAGAACTGCAGGGAAAAGTAGAAGAATTAACAATTTTGGCTGAGAATTTCAATATTCTTTCATTAACTGATTCAACAAGTTTTGTGATCAAAGAGGACATAATAGACCCAATTGCCATTATCAACTAACTTGGCCTAATTGACATTTATTGAACATTCCACTCAACAATAGCAGAATACATTCTTTTCAAGTGCACATAGAGAATCTACTAAGGTACACTCTAATTTAGACTATAAAATGTTTCAATAAATTTAAAAGAATTCAAGTTATAGAAAGTATGTTTAGTAACCTCAATGGAATTCAACTGTGTATCAATAAGTGAAAGATACTTGGAAACATCTCCAAATAATTGAAAACTAAATAACACTTTTAAATAAATCATTGGTACCAAAATAAAACATTTTAAACTGAATGGAAAGGGAAAAATCAGTTTGTCAGAATTTCCATGATGCTACTAAACCAGAAAATAGGGGGAAATTTATTGAGCTTTTATTAGAAGCAATGACTTCAGTCTTAATTTATTAAAAAAGAATCAAGGACCTCAGTCTTAATATTAAGCAATAGGAAGAAGAAGAAGTTAAACACAAAGGAATCACACACAAAAATAATAAAGATCAAAGCCAAAACCAGTGAAACTGAAAACAAGAAAAGCAAGAAAAAAATCAGAAAGTTTACAACTGATCAATCTCTAGCCATACATAAAAAAGAGAAGATGCAACGTTTTAATATCAACACTGAGAGAAGTGACATCACTACAAATAAAAACATATATTAAAAGGAGAAAGATGGAATATCTTGAATAACTTTTGCACATAAATTTGATTACTTTGATGAAATATACAAATTGCTTGAAAAATACAAACAACCAAAGTTCACTAAAGAAATAGATAAGTTAAATCGTCCTATATCTATTAAGGAAATGGAATTTCTGATTTAAAATCTTCCCACAAAGGAGACGGCAAGCCCACATAGCTTCACTTGTTAATTCAACTAAGTGTTTAAAGGAAATATAACACTAATCCCATGAAAAAAAAATTTCCTGACAGTTAAAGTGGAGAGACTATATCCCAACTCCTTCTATAAGGCCAGCAGTACCCTGATAAAGAAACTACACAAAAAGAAAAAGAAAAAACTAAACAAAGATCAATATCCGTAATAAATATAGATATAAAATTCTAAAGAAAATTATATCAAGTCAAATCCAATATGATATACATAATTTGCCAGTCATGTTTATTCTAGAATGCAAGGATGGTTTAGCTCTTAAAAATCATCGCTTCTTGGCCTTTTGGCTAAGATCAAATGTAGCTTTTAAAAATCTATCAATATTATTTAGTGCTTAAAAGAAATGAACTATCAAGCCATGAAAAGACATGGAGGAAACTTAAATGTGTATTACTAACTGAAAGAAGTCAATCTGAAAATGCTACTTTATGATTTCAACTATATGACATTCTGGGAAAAGCAAAGTAAAAAGATTAATTGTTGCCAGGGGTTGTGGCAGGTCTGACAAATAGAGCATAGAGGATTTTCAGGGCGGTGGAACTACTCTTTATGATACTATTGTGGTGGAAACATGTCATTATATGTTTGTCTAAACCCATAAAAGGCACACCAAGTGTGAACCCAAATGTAAACTATGAACCTTAGCTAATAATGATGTCTCACTGTAGGTTCATCAGTTGTAAAAGATGTACCACTCTGATGGGGGGCTATTAACATGTGTGAAGCGATGCATGTGTGGAGTTGAGAGTATATGATAAATCTCTGTACCTTCCTCTTAATTTTGCTGTGATCCTAAAATTGCTCTAAAAAATAACTATATTAAAACAAATCAATTAATATATTTTATCATATTAAGAAAATTTAAAAAGGAAAATCATGTGATCATCATAGCAAATATAGGAAAAACATTTGACAAAATTTATCATCCAGTCCTTATAAAAATTCTTAGTAACATATAAATTGAAAAGAACTTCCACAACCTAACATAATATCCATGTAAAACCTACAGCTAATAACATAATAATCGTGAAAAACAGAATGCTTTCCCCTGAATATCAAAAGAAAGACATGCAAATATTAGGAAACTATTATATTAAAGGTTAACAACACAATCTTTAATCTATCAGTTAGTACTTTATATCTGACATTTGAAAGCAGAATAACAGCCCTGCCATAGTTGACATAAAACACATAAATATTGCTAATCATGATACTCCGCATGTTTTTCAGACTAAAAAGTAAACAAAAACAAGCTACAAGCTTACTTACACGTTTTGATATAGTCATTAAAACATCCAATAAACTCGGTGACAGACATCTGTGATTTCACCTTAGCTGGCTTAACTGCTTTTCTCCTTTCAGAAGTGCATATCTCAAAGCTGTATCTCCTTCTGGGGTGTGTGTGTGTGTGTGTGTGTGTGTGTGTGTGTTTTCACATGCACGTGCACTTGTTCTTCTTCAGTGCTTAGTAAAAGACCTACAAAAGTTTTTAGTATATAATTGGATTTCCTTGATCACATTATGCTAGAATTAGGGTTACCTACTCCACACAAAACAGGACACTGATAGTAACATATGAAGTGAGTAGAAATGGCTGAATTTAATTTGTAAGAGTACCCACAAAAACAATTAGTTTAGTTTGAAATTCTTATAAGGAGAGTTCTGGGTACTGTTAGGTTTCATTTTATTTGCCTATACTCCAGGGGAAAAAAGCTACATCAAAACTATTGTGATGAAAGCTAGTGATCTTCAGCACATGAAAACTTGTTAAAAATGCTTGTATCTGATCTCACTCAATAGGGATATTCACACAAAATATCTGTATATAAATCATGTTTTAAAAATTAAGAAACAAAATCATGAAGAAAGTAATTTTCAGGTCAATCATATAGTGCATGGTTATGTAACATCAAATAACCCTTTGATATTTCCTCATTTTTCTTAGATTTTTATACACTGGCTGTATCTGTAGAAAATAGGTTGGAAGGGAAATATTCTTACAGGACACAAATTGAAATGATTTATTTTAGTTGATCCCTCAAAGTCCCTTAGTAGTAGTCAAAGAATTATGTATGGGTTTTCTTTTTAAATGGATTTACACATTTAATGAAACCATGTAAGATGAAATAGGATATTTATCTTTTAGCATCATATTCTGATTTGTTGATAGAAAACAATCATTATTTTATTATTTTAAAGACATTTCATACTATTAAAAAGGAACAGCTTTCAAAATACAAATCAAGCACATAAATCCATTAAGTGCAGTCACATCAATACTTAGATCAAAACCATCACGTGACCCATAGTACCATAAGATCATACTTAAAATCCCTCTTCTCTGAAAGCCTTTATATTAACTGCTTAGAATTGCAGCTGTCTCACTTATTTTTCTCTAAGTCTTCATAGACATCATATATATACAAATATATATTTATATATATTATATTTATAAATATATATTTATATATATTATATATATAAATATATATTTATATATATTATATATATATGTTCTTAAATGTCAAAAAGATGGAGTTATTTTCATACACAGTGAAAATGGCCAGATCTTAAAAATACATTGCTCCTATGGAAATTAATCTCTGTGGGTTTAGATTAAAGAAAAATACTATTCGGGTATAAGATGAAAAGCCATATGAAATGACTAATTTTATTTCAATTTTATAATCATTCAGGGCTAAATCTTTCAATCTTATTTCTAAAGTATGCAAGTAGATAGCAGGACAGTTCTAGAGTGCCATGTCAATTTGCTTTATTAATATGCTGGCAGTCAAAACTGAACAACTAAAATTTTATGGAGGTGAGAATAAATGATAAGTAATCCTGGCCTTTACAATGAAACTCAAACTTAACCCTAAATGAAATTCCTAAATTTTTGGTGCCTCTTTTATACCAAAAAGCAAAGACCAGTTTTGTCATACATGATGAATTAGATGCACCATGTTCTTTTGTTAGACTCCAAAGAAGACAACTCTTTGTATTCTAAACATCTTTTTAAGTCAGAAGACAAGTACAGGATAATACATCTTTGAAATTTTATGGTAGTAGAATGCATTGTCTGGTATTCTAAAAATGCAGCCTATTTGCTGGCATCTTATAATAAATATTATAAGTAAAAAATAATGGTAAGTTTATACTTTTGTTACAAAGAAGGAATTATAGTAGGCTTTTACAAAAACTAAAATTTGTCTTCTAAGTTCAGATAATTGTAAGATGAATCCGAATCTTTACCTGTTTTGAAATTGCTGCATGTTTCCAAACCCTTCTTAGATTTTCTACACCTTACTTCTCAGCTCTGTTACTAGTTCTGTTGCCAGATTTTAGATTAGGCATTTAGCATCAACTACTTTTGGCATGAACCAGTGATTCAGGAATTAGCTAGACAATTTTTAGTATTCAGGTACTATAACTACATTATACTTTTAATTGGGACACACAACACATAGAATGCATAAGGAAGATTTTATATATACACACGCTGAATCGTCTCCATGATAAAACCGAATACTCAGAGCCAGTTTATTTAGTATACTAGGGTGTGTTTTGGGCATTTTTTGCTGGTTGTACCCCTCACAATACCCTTTTTGATATACATATTGTGATCCCCATTTTATAGATAAGGAAGAACAAGTGGGTTCAATTATTGACACAGAATCACATATCTTGGAAGTGCACATTTATTTTGCCTTAACTAAATATTATATTTTGCTATTTCACACTCTTATTGTCAGGAATATTATAATTTATATTTTAAACATTATACTATTAAAGTTGATGCTGAAAAATCTTTCCCAGTACCATGATCTTATTCATAACGTAGTTGTTAAACTGTGAAATGTTGGAATCCCATGCAAAGTTAATTAAAAAATATACTTGACTACAAGTATTGTAAATGACCATAAAAAATATAAGAAAGCTGTGCTTTTGTCATATGTCCTGATGTCTGGTGTTTGAATTTGGATTCAAACCTGTTTCCCTGTTCTATTTTTTTTTTTTCTATTTAAAATATTCTACTCGGAAAGATTTGTGATATATTTATCTTTAAATGAAGGACAGGTTGAAGCAATATACATTTCTAAAATTTAGCAGTAATTTACATCTCATTAATTCTGATCTTCATTCTCTTACCTTTCTCTCTGACTGATTCTCACCGTTTTCTTCTTGTGTTTATATTCACTGTGACTATTCAAAATTTGTCCATACTTACAGAGACAGTTTAATAAGGTATGCTTATAGGTGTTAAAATGAAAGCAGGTCAAGTTTAAAAATCCTGAAGACGTATCTCAATACAATTTTTATTTTATGTAGTATGAATATGTGTTCTCCTGCCTGGATACATGCTTCAGTTCTTGTGGTGGACTCTGGAATACCTAGCACAGGAATCTCTAGAAAATGATAAACCCCAGGTAATACGTAGTACAAAGCTGATCCTGAGTAGCGGCCAATCAGGAAGTGCAGTTACTGCAAAGAGCACGCTGCCTAAGAATTCCCCTATATTCATATTCATGCTGAGACTAGCTACACAAATTTTTATAAAAATTTTGGCACATGTGTGCGCTTGAGTGTGCAAGCTAGGGGAAGGTTTGTGTTGGGGGGGTGCAGCAGTCAAAAAAATCTTAATAGTAGACTCCAAGTAATGGTTGTTATCAACATCATTCAAGTGTAAATCTTGATGCAAGGGACATACGAAAGCTGTAGGGTAAGAAGCAATTCCAGAATAGAGAGTGCAGAAGTCATGTATTTCTGTATAGTCACATTTGGGGAACATTTATGCACTTGCAAGATGTGTTTTGCATACATACACTGTACAAAATTGTTGTCATTTTTTAAGATGCACTTAGTAATTGAGGGAGTTTTATGTTTAAAACTCATATTCTGTATGGTTATTTTAGTGACAACTGACAAAATTTTGCAGCTAAAGTTTGATATTATTTTGCAGTTTGAAATTTAGAAGAAAAGAAATCTTGGAGAGGAGAAAATGCCCATACAGATTTTTCTCAAGAAGACTACAGGATGAGGCTTTTGATTAGGAATTCTTTTCTCTACCACTGTCCTGGGGGTATATAAAGAATAATTTATCCAGGCCTTGTCTTGGCAAATGCACAAAAATCAGCGAATCTAGTCATTTGCAATTCACTGATTGGTGTGTAGGATATAGTTGCCTTAAATCATATCCTTTCTAAGTACACACTTCTAATAACTTGGGCAACATACTGGTATTCTGCCAGATACCCAAATTTCTGGAAAACAGAAGCCAATCCTGTTTCTATTTCAAAAATCAGATTCAGTTGCTTGGATGGAAATGCCTTCTAGGCAATGTGTTATGAGTCATTCCATGCTACCAATGTCTCCTTCCTAATCTAGGCTACTGAGACCTCTGAAATGTTTTAAATTTTGTTATATGCTATATGGCATCCTGTGTTTTAGGATTTCCTAGAAGCAAATTTAAGGGGCTTTCTTTGTTTGTACTTCTTTCTCATGTAAGCAGTCTTATAATTCCTGGATCCTTAGCTCCCAATGCTATGCCTTAACTAAGAGTTTTTAATTATCATTATTACTATAAAATTATTTTTAAATGAAATATTTAATTTTTACCAAGGAAACCTTAAGTCAACATTATCCCTTTAAAAAAAAAGAAATGCTATTTAAAATTCACACAATAAAGTCATCCATCGAAGCAAAAGAAAAAATCCATGTTTAAGTAATAATTGGCAATTCTGCCCATCACATTATTTCCAATTCCATGTTATGTTACAGCCAAAAAGAAGCAACTAAACTCATGCAGCTTATGTTGATGTGCCAGGGGTAATGGATTGTGGGATAAGTGATGGCATGTACAGAAGAAATGTAAAATTCCACATTGCTCTGACAATGTATCTTGGGTTTAGAATTCAATACAGTAGACCTTATGGTTATACCAGCTGTGCTTTGTCCCACACTAAGATGTTGCAATCAGGTGATACATTCATGTTAGTTGAATATGTTATAACTGTTAAAGAAAAACATTATTTATAACACTTGTTAAATAAGATGAAGAAGATCCTAAGGGGCGACCATTGCAATAGGTAAGGGACCACTGCAATAGGGACTTGCAGTGCAGCGGGGAAGAGAGATCCGGCTTGACTCTGACTCCAACAAAGACAAGTGGAGGTTGATATCTAAGGAGCAGTGTGGGGTCAGTGGATAGAATATCACTAAGAAGAAACATCAGGCTTAAGAAAGATTCCTGCTATGCCAACGCAAGAGACTTCTTGCTGAAGACAGGCCAGGGTGATAAGATATAGAAGGTGAGGACAAGGACAGATACCAAGGGTGGGGGATTTTCTTTAAACTGATTTAGCAGGATTCTTACTCAAACTGGTTTCTACAAGGATAGAGAGGGAAACCCAAGATCACGTCTCATCAAGCACAGGCCTTGGAGGAGCCTGATTAAGAGAGAGGATTTGTTACAATATACAAATACATGCACAAAGCCAATACTTTGCAGTTCAGCACTTCCCGTGTTATCGGGTTCACAGAAAAAAGACTGTTATGGAATGGGTCTGTCCTGTTGAAGACTAAAGTGCATGGAGGGAGCAGTAAGAAGCTATTACGATCTTTGGGGGTTGATTATCTCAAGGAAGATTCTGACAAAGATGAGTTGAAACAATAACAGCTTAACAGGTACAGGACAAGATAAGAACAGCCAAATTATAGTTAAACAGACAAAAAAATACCAAACATTTTTTGAGGAGGCAGATATAGAGGGAAAAAAACCTTACAGAAGAAAATACTGTGGCTTCTGAATAGATGAGATAACCTGAGAGATAATATTAATGCCGTAGGCTAAAGCATTTGGAATTTGATTGCACCTTATAATGGTAAAATAAAGTCTAGTGACCAGGAAAAACATTAAAACAAATTCATACAAGCAATTCGATGGAGTGGAAAAATACTTTATTAGAAGTCAAGTGTTGAGGCTTTCAGACTCAACACTAGGTTTGTAACCTGGTTGACTCTGAGAAACTACTCAGCTTCTAGCACTGTTTTCTCTGCTATAAAATGAAATTAGATTAAATGATCTTTAAAATTCACTCCAGATCTATTTAATGGCTTTATACATCAGACTTTTAATGATTTTATATTTATATTTGAGAATGTATATTTGTGAATAGTTTTATATTTTTTAGAAAAGAAGAAATAAGCAAAGGCTGGGAAGACAGGGGAGGTTTAGGAAAGATGTAGCATTCAAAGTATATAGATCACAGTTGCGTAAAAAGCTGGCTGGGATTTTCATAGGCAGACAGAGAAAGGGAGACAAAAAAGAGAATTCTAATAGGAGTGATGAGGAGAAGGGGAGTGGCTTGTACATGGGCCAATCATGAGAGCAACCTGACAGGAATAGAGAGTAGGCAATGAGACATCACATAGGGATTGGGTGATTTAATGATTTATACTAGCATGTTAAGTTCTTGTAGAATGTATTTGAAGACAATACTATATTTCAGCATTTCCAAATGTATTTCAAAGCATGCAATGTTTTTATTTATTATCATTTTAAATTTAATTTATTTCAATAGCTTTCAGGTTACAAGTATTTTTGGTTACATGGGTGAATTGTATAACGGTGAAGTGTGGGATTTAGTGCAACCATCACCTGAGTAGCATACAACTCTACCCAATAGGTAGTTTTTAGTCCCTCCTCCCTCTCGTCCTCCCTTCTTCTGAGTCTTCTATGTCCTTCCATTATACCAGTCTGTATAGTTTTGCATATCCATAGCTTAGACCCACTTGTAAGCTAAAACATGCAGTATTTTGGCTTTTCATTTCTGAGTTACTTCACCTAGAATAACAGCTGCCAGTTCTACCTAAGATGCTGCATAACACATTATTATATCATTTTTAGTATTAATGTGATTCTGATTAGTATTACTATATATAATATATAGTAATTCCTACATATAATATATATAAGGAATAATATATTATCATATGATATAATAATATATTATATATAGTTATATATAGTATATATAATATATAGTAATTCCTATATCTAATATATATAAGCAATAATATATTATTATATAATATAAATTATATTAAAAAATAAAAAAAAAATATTATAATATATAATATAAATATAATAATATATTATTGGTT